AGAAACACAAAGTGCTCGAACTCAGGGCAGTAAGACACACATGCGCACGCTTCCTTTCCTTCATTCAGAACAGAACTGTACAGATCCTGACAATGTAGCAGTAAAAATTGCTAGATGCCTGAGCTCAGACTTGGGAGTAGGATAGCCACCCTAGTTCAAGCCTATCCCAAGCCTCTGCTGATACTAAGTGCACAGACGATGAGGAGTCCTGTGGTACCTTATAGACTAACTGAAGTGTAGGAGCATAAGCTTTCGTGGGCAAAGACCCACTTCGTCAGATGCATGTCAGATGATATCTGTTTGTACTTGTGCAAGTTTCTTCAAGAGGTTGATAGATTTCCACTCCATACGGCTAAATGCAGTGCCTTGCATGGTGTATCTGACGAAGTGGGTCTTTGCCCACGAAAGCTTATTCTTCTACACTTCAGTTAGTCTATAAGGTGCGACAGGACTCCTCGCCGCTTTTACAATGTACTTTATCAACTGACATGGAGGGGCCAGATCATACGAGCTCTGCCAAGAAGCAACCCATTTATGGGAGTGGTACATTCCAAGGATGATGCATCTGGTCGCAACTTAAGTTCAGGCAAGGACAACACTCTTGCAGACAGCCTAAGCAGTCAGTTCCCGCAAAACTATGAATGGGAAATAAACCCATCAGTGTTAACCTTCCTCTTCAAGAAGTGGGGGTTCTCATCGATAGACCTATTTGCCACACAACACAACTCCCATTGCCCACGGTATTGCTCCAGAGTGGGCATAGGACACAACTCACTAGGAGGTACCTTCGCCATACAGTGAAAAACACATCTGTACTAGGGATGTGAAGGACTAGTCGAGTAGTCAACCACCCAATAAGCAGGAGCTTATCGGGTAGCACTATCGACTACTTGATCACCTCTCCCCCTCCTTAGAGGGACAGAGGAGCCAGCATGCCAAGACACGGGCTCATTCTCTGGTCCCCTGCAGGGTCTCAGGACAACCCTCATGCTGCCCCTCTGCATTTTTAAAGGGACGCAGCAGAGGCAGCCAGCTCCCTGATCCTCCTCATGCTGTCCATCTGCACTTTTAAACGGGGCGCAGCAGCAGAAGCCTGTCCACTTGTCTGTCTCAGCACAAGTCAGTTGTCGCTGCTGCGTCCCTTTAAAAAATGCAGAGGGGCAGCGTGAGGGTGTTTGGGGGAGGGGGTGCAGCAACTGCTGCTGCTGTATCCCTTTTAAAAGTGCGGAGGGGCAGCTTGGAGTTCTGCTCAAATGCAGCCTGAGCCAGAAGTGAGTACAAAGTGCCCTTCCTTAACAATGGAAATTTCATCAACTACTCGACTAGTAAATTAATTGATACTTAACATCCTTAATCCATACTATGCATTCCCTCTGTTCCCTCTGATGCAATGATTCTCATAACACCCAACTGGCCCAGGCAAACGTCATATCCATACAGATGAGCATCCGTCCACCACGCTGTTTCCCACCAGTTCGAGCTCTGCTCACTCAATGCAACGGTCAGATTCATCATCCTGACATATAGAGCACACCTCACTTCCATGTCAGCCATCCACCCCCCACTACAATCACACTCGGTCTTTACCCATCCAGCGGTCAAAAGGTTCCTGTATGGCCTACAAAACATTTATGTGCCAACTAAGGATCCAATACCATCATGGGACTTAAATCTAGTACTCACAAGGCTCATGGGCAGACCCTTCGAGCCGTTAGCTACATGCTCTTTATTACACCTATCGATGAAGGTAGCATTACTTGTCGCAATTACTTCTGCAAGACGTATAGGTGAATTGGGGGCCCTCATGTCGGACCCACCATACACAATATTCCACACAGATAAAGTAGTTCTGCGAACACACTGAAAATTCACACCAAATGTACTTGCCTTCTTTCACTGTAACGAACCAATATGCTTACCTGTCTTCTACCCAAAACCGCATAAAGACCAAAGGGAGGAGGTGCTCTATGCCTTGGACATCCGCAGGGCACTAGCCTTTTACCGATAGCACACACAACCCTTTCGAAAATCTCCACAATTATTTATATCAATGACACAGAGATCACAAGGCTTAGCTATATCAAAACAAAGATTATCGAAATGGGTATCTAGCTGCATATAACTTGCGTACACATTAGCACAAAAGGAATCCCCTCATAACATAAGAGCTCACTCCACAAGAGCCATGGTGGCCACAACCACGTTCCTACAAGGCCTTCCAATGGAACAGATATGCAAGGCCGCCACATGGGTGTCCACACACATTCACCCAGCGCTATGCCATCCGGACATTCGCAGACTCTGTAACGAAATTTGGCTAAACAATACTCGCCATCATAGTCATGCACTCCTGAGCTCCCACCTATTAACATGACCACTGCTTCATAATCACTTAAGGTGAAGCACCCTCAGGGACCTTCAAAGAAAAAGGGAAGGTTACTCACCTGTGCAGTAAATGAAGTTCTTTGAGATGGTTATTCCCGTGGGTGCTCCACCACCCACCCTTCCTCCCCTCGACTTCGGACTCACAGGTATCCGGGTCAAGAAGGAACAGAAAACAACCGGCTGCACATGCGGAGTATTGCACTCAAACCGCTCATGCTGGCACTTCATATGCGCTGCCAGCCAGGGGCACTGCTAATGCAAATCTCTGATAGTGCGTCAGTGTCGCTGTGCACCCAAGGTAGAGTCCATATCATTCTGTCTTGTGTTAAGAGGAATGTTGTACATAAGATATCAAAAGTAATTGTTTTGCTCCACTCAGCACTTGAGACCAGTTTGGGTTCCATTCTCCTACCTGCTGATTCGCTAGATCATAGGTTACCAAACTGGGGGGCATGGATTCCAGGGGGGGCACGAGGTGACCCAGCCCCCCCCTTTAAATCCCCCCCCCCCACATTTTTTTCTTTGCTCAAGTTTTGCTGTTGGGGGGGGGGGGTCAAAAATAAAAAAGGGGGTGTGATGCCCAAAAGTTTGGGAACCATTGTGCTAGATAGTCATTTGGTTTGCCTGTTTCTCCACATCTGAAATGGAGATGCTAGAGAAAATGTGAAGATAGATAAATGTTTGTGAAACTTTTCAGATACTGCCATAATGAGGACACTAGAAAAGACCATGAAAAAATGATTAACTTTGTATTCAGTACAGTACAGGATTTCAGTGTTGCAGTAAGCAAGGTATTGGGCAATTGAAAAACTACTTTATGCACTGAATGAGAAAAGATACTATGGTGTGGGAAAAGTAAAATATGATTGTGGAACTTAAAACTGTATAATAATGCTCAAGAGCGGAGAATTCAGATCGCAAAGCCAGGCACTTGAATGTGAGGGAAATGCCATAAATAAAAGTTCATGGGCATTCTACATAATTTAGGATTTTTTGGTTTGTCATTTTACGAAAAAGGCTTGATTATTAAAACATTTAGGATGTCTTATACCTACATGTAAATATAAGATCCAGGAAAAATTTTATGGCCATAATATTGGCTTATATGTACACTGAACTAATACCAGGGTAAAATGAAAAGTGGCATTTGGTGATGTGGAGGTGGGGTGGAGGTTTCCATATTTATATCTGACTTCAAGTCTCAAGATCATTGTGCAAGTAAAAGATTGTTTATCAAACTGTCAGTCGTACAAGCTCAATTTAGCTGTTGAGAGCAGGGTTGCCAACTTTCTAATTACACAACCCCACAGCCTCGCTTGCTTGCTCTCTCCCATCATCACTCACTTTTACTGGGTGAGAGCAAAGTAAGGGAGGAGGCTCGGGGCTGGGGCAGGAAGCTGGAGTATGAGAGGGGAGAAGTGGTGTGGTCTCTGGCCAAGAGGCACTTACCTCAGGAAGCTTCCGTAAGTGACCAACATGTCTGGTTTCTAGTCTCGGGGATGGCCAGGCAGCTCTGCATGCTGCAGGTCTGGACAGTGTAAGCTGCAGAGTTGTCACTTGGGATGGGGGGCAGTGTCCAGAGATCCCCTGGCTACCCCTGCACCTCGGAGACACAGGAATGTGCCACTTGTTTCTGTGCACAGTGCAGAGCAAGGGCAGGCAGGAAGAGTCTGCCTTAGTCTTGCTGCACTGCCAAATGGAATTTTAGTGGCTTCTTAAAATCTCTCCAGTTTTTTGTTTTTGTTTTTTTTCCAGTTATCACCTACAGATCAATGCCAATACGGGTAGACTCCTGGCCAGTCTGGGAGGTTTTGCAATCCTAATTGATAGGCAAGCTGAGTTCTCTCTTGCACATTATTCCCTGTAATAAAGGTTCTGCACCCCATATTGTGCCTTCATTAACTCAGTTCCACCTGTGTAATCTTTGACATTACAAGATTTATAACTGTTGAAAACAGTAACCTAAGCTTGTATCTTGAGTTGAAATCTTGAGAAATTCACTAACCAAAAATCTAAAGAATTCAAATTACGTTAGTTGAGAGATCAAAATTAAAACAGCTGCTTTCATTTATATTTATATTATCATAAAATAATTTTAAAATGTCTAAATGAAAAGGTCATTTTGACTTGAAAAGCTAGAGGGTTTTTCTGGGTTTTTTTGTTTTTTAAAGTCATCAAAGCCAGTCCTTCCTCTCAAACAATTTTGCTTTTGAATATTCAGAATTGTTTGTTGGAAAAAATTTTTCCCAGCCAGTTTGGGTTATTACACAAATTAGCTGGTAACTATAGAGGAGTTATCTAAATCAATAGTCCTCAGTTTGGTACAAATAAGTTTGTCACCTAGAATAATCTAGAAAAAATTATTCTAGACAAATATTTTAAAAACAAAGTAGATCTTGTTTAGAGAAATGTAGGATCATGCTCAGTAATGGATTTTTCTAACAAATGACACATCTGAACTATGTCAAACTAACCATAGCTAAATACATTTAACTCTTAAGCTTTTTCATTAATTGTTTTTTTTTTAAAAGCTCAGCGTACCCTGGTTATCTTTCTATTATACAGAATGCTTTGTTTGACCATGCTTGTTCTGTTTGTCTTTTATCTTTTACCAGAAAGCCAAAGAGCATATCGATTTGTGCAAGGCAAGGATTGGGGTTTTAAAAAGTTTATCAGAAGAGATTTTTTACTTGATGAAGCTAATGGTTTGTTACCAGATGACAAGCTTACATTATTTTGTGAGGTAAGGGTTTTTAACTAATTAACATAGCTTTTCATATCTAAGCAAAAAGGTTCTATTTAACAATATTATACACTTCCTTGTCAATATGGTAAATTAGCAAGTTTAAAACCATAAATGTGAATATGGTGTGTTGATT